AAATTGCCAGATAATAGTAGAATTAAAAATAACTAAAATGCAAATAAAACACAAAATAAAAATAAAAACTGTATTAAAATATGTCTGAAAAGTTTTGTTTTTTTAATATTTATATTAAAATATCAGAAAATGTCTTTAACAAACTAAAAACTATCAATATCATGTTTGGACAAAATTTGGATTTATAGAACATTTTTGGTATATTATAGTTATAAAAGTCTTTTCACTGCTCATGTCTAAACTTGCTAGATGTTGATCTCACTCACACACACACTGTAAGTGAGAGATCTCAGTAACCAGCAGGATTAAATGACTGTCGAGGTTACATGTTTGCACTTGACATCATCTGTAAATATTTGTATTTTATCAAACCTCTGGTGATGATGCTCTTTTCTGTCTTCAGTGGACCAGTGTTGTCATTGGCGATGACCTCCAGTGGTGAACAGTGTTTTAGTGGTGGTCTTGACGCAACCATCCAGTGGTGGAACATCCCCAGCTCAAATGTTGATCCCTACGACACTTATGGTACACACTATTTCACTAAGTGAAAGGGGAAAGGTTTAAGTAGTAGTGAGCCCTGCTATAGTTTGGAGTGGCGCTAACAAAAAGAGGAGAGGCCAAGCTGAAGGTGGCAGAGACGGCTCAGGTTGGGCAGATATGAAAAGTTAGCACGACAAGGCTGAGATGTTTGGGCATGCACAGAGGAGAGGCAGTGGATATATTGGACAAAAGACGTTGAAAAGGAAGCTGCTAGGCAGGAGGAAGTGGGACCACAGAGAAGATTCATGCTGAGTGTGGACACGCAGAGGGCTGGTGTAGCAGAAGGGTATACTAATAATGGGGAGATGATCCACTGTGGCGACTTGTTATGGTAACAGCCAAAAGAAATGTCTCCTTTCATAATGATCTCCTTGTTTTTTCAAAAATTTAGATTTCTTAGATTACCTCACATGGCTCTGCTTTCCCCTTATTTTTCTTTTTTGTTTTATTCTTGGAATCACGGTTCCCAAGTTTGTATGTTTTTCTTTTAGGTCTGCTCCTATTAAGGCTGCATTCCTCATGTCTTTACTTTCTCAACAAAATGCTGGATTTTTTAAAAAATGTCTTTACTTGGGAAAAATACAGTTTTTGGGAACATTTTATTTCACAAAACCTTACAAAGACACCAAAAATGTCTTCCCTTTGTTAAAGTTTTCTCTCTCAATTGGGAATATTTGTCAGTTAGATGAATGTACAGTTATAAAAACAGAAGGCCCCTCTCATTTCTTATCTCTCTTCCAATCAGATCCAAGCGTCCTGGCAGGTTCCTGGTTAGGACACACGGACGCTGTGTGGGGATTGGCATACAGCGGTATCAAAAACCGCCTCCTGTCCTGCTCGGCCGACGGAACAGTGAAGCTGTGGAACCCAACAGAGAAAAACCCCTGCATTAGCACTTTCAATACAAACCATGGTAAGAAGAAGAAAAAGGGTGCACTTCTTTGCAGGAGGGAGTTTGAACAGACTTGCTGATGTTTACATCTGTTAACAGAGCATGGGATCCCCACATCAGTGGACTTCAATGGTTGTGACCCTGCTCACATGGTGGCATCCTTTAATAGCGGAGACGTGGTTGTGTATGACCTGGAAACTTCCCAGCAAGCACTTGTGCTCAAAGGACAGGGAGATGGCAGTAAGAGCACAAACAACCATGAACAGATATGAGGTGTGTGATGGGTTTTTGCAGACAGTAAACAGTGTTATCCTTTTCTCTCCCTCCTCAGCTCTGTCGGGGTCAAATCATATAAATAAGGTGGTGAGTCATCCCACGCTTCCAGTCACCATCACTGCTCATGAAGATCGACACATCAAATTCTTTGATAACAAGTCAGGTCAGTCTGCAGCTACTCCCCAGCTGTGTCCATCACTCCAAAGATGGTGAGCCTGATTGGTGAGATCAGGTTTCACAGCTCCCACTTCACAGACACTGTGTACAGAGTGACTCAGAATTATTTTGACTTGAGAAAAACGAGTCCTTCAGGCTTCTGGAAGTGCTTAGGTGTTCCTTGTGTCCTCTATGCAGGTAAAGTGATTCATGCCATGGTGGCTCATCTGGATGCAGTGACCAGCCTGGCCGTGGATCCAAACGGCATCTACCTGATGTCTGGCAGTAAGTCTCATAAAAGTCTTGCTGGAGCTCAGAATAAAGCATTGAATTTACTTTAGCTTTTTTTAAATTAAATTCTGAAAGTTATTACAGTTCTTCAAGCGTGCTGTAGATGGTGACTAGTGGGTGGCTGTAGCTCAGGTGGCAGAGCAGGTCAGCCACTAACCAGAAGGTCGGTGGTTCGATCCCTGCCTCCTGGCTTTGGCTGCATGCCAAATATCCTTGGGCAAGATACTGACCCCATGTTTGCCTACTGGTGGTGGTCAGAGGGCCCGCCAGTGTCCGGCAGCCTCGCCTCTGTCAGTGCGCCCCAGGGCAGCTGTGGCTACAATGTAGCTGCCATCACCAGTGTGTGAATGACTGAATGTAGTGTAAAGCGCTTTGGGGTCCTTAGGGACTGAGTAAAGCGCTATACAAATGCAGGCCATTTACCATTTAGTGAAGATTGAAAGGTTATCTATTAGGGCTGAGTATCATCACTGATTTCTAGAATCGATTCAATTCCGATTCACAAGGTCCCGAATCAGTTCGATCCAGGATTTGAAGAAATTTTGCCTCAGACAGTCAGAAATATTATAATTCTGATCACGTATCAGTACATATCCATATTTTTCTATCTATAAAAAGAAAGCTGACACTTGCGAGACTTTATCAAAGGTGTAAGCATCACAGCAGATGCCTTTGTGTCAAAGAAAAGGCATAAAACACAAAAAAACATGAAAGCGATTTTCCTGGCCTGGGATTTTATAGCAGATGACCTTAAAAATATTCTGCAGTAGATCAAAGACGAAAGAAAACCATTAATCAACATATGAACATTACATGATGCTGCTGAAGTGAAGCAAAGTTAACTGTGTCTCTAATAAAACCTCTAAGGGTTTTGCAATTTTGCATAATTTTAAAAAGTTTTAATTTGTTCAGTAGCATACTGAACAGCAGAAATTAGGTTTTCTTTTCCAAAGTAAGTAAAAGGAAAAAAGAAACAGCGGCCGACAGCGCTGTAAACAACGGCAGTGGGTGATAAGCAAGCGAATAATGCAGAAAACAGATTTTTAGATGGGAAACTGAGAGAGGGAGAGAGCTGTGCAGGAAGTGTGATTTTTATCTTGGTGGAAGCAAAACGGCAAGTAGGAGGGAATTCATGACGATGTTTATGTGAAGCGAAATGTGAAGCGTAGTTTGGATCTTTTTGCTGCGGGTTCAGTCAGAGATAAAACCTGCAGCTTCAGAATCTAGCGCAAAAAAGGACGTAAACACAAAGCGCGAAACACCAGAATCGGTGAGCTGTCGGCTTTCAGCCCCGACCGTGTTTGTGCCGTCGGGTGAGAAAGGTGACATCTCACTGATTCTGATGCGTCAGCGGGTCCGCTCTTTGTGTTTACGTCTTTGTGCAGAATCCGTGTTCCTGCTCTCATTTACTGTTTTAGCTGTTTGGTGGTTGTTGTTGTGAGGTTTAACCTGAGATTCTGGCATTTTGGGCAAAATAAATTTATATTTAAAAATCAATTAAGGATTTTAATGAATCGATATCACGTTATCCAAGCTAGAATAGATTTTAATCGATAAATCGATAATCAAAACCCATCCCTATTATCTATGTAAGTTAGTTCAACTTTGCTTTGTACCATTACATGACTGAGTGTTCTCTTTAGTCTATTTACTTGTACAGCACATATAGCATTGATTATCATGTGTGCTCAACTAGGACACTTTGCCTCACAACGGCTTTGTTCACACCTTTAAGTCAAATGACCTGCAGTGCTATATATTAGGCCCCGTCTGCGTATATACCCCTGTCACCACAGTCACCTCACCTCACCACGAACACTTCATTTGGCAAGCTGGCTTTTCCATGTAAAGAGATTTTTGACTAAGACCAAAGGGCATGCATTTTGTCATGAGCTCTTTCTCTCGGGTCACGTTAGTGGAGAAAGTCCTGGGAGGTGCTGCTCTTACAAGGCACAATCCTCTTCTCAGAGTCCTTTGACCCAGTTTTAGAGTCGTCAGACCAGTATGCTGCCAGTCCTGCTGCGCTGGCTAGCCAAAACAAAACACCTGTTTTCTCTGTTTCACCATACAACTAAGAAGCTCTCCTCTGACAGCTGAGAAGCCATTTATGTTTTGTGAGGTTTTCTGATGATGGTAAAAAAAAGTCTTTTTTTTTTTTTTCTTCTCAGGACTAACCACTGCATGTATCAATCCGAAATCTACTCATTTCACTGTGTCTGGCTATAGACAGGATCTGGAAAAAGCTGATTTAGTTAAGGCACCACCTATAGATCCATTACTGACAGTTTATTTGGCCCTGTCTCACAATCCAAGCACAGGTGCCCCCACAGCTCTTCCATCCAAGATTTTCCACATTTCATTTAGACATTCAGACACATTAATCAGGCTTAGTGACAGAGCTCATGGTGCAGGCATTGCCCATCTATGTTTGGATCACTGGTTCCCCAGACAACCCACTGGTGCCTCTCCATATTGAGGTCAGATGTCTTTGGCCCAAGTTCTGTTCAGGTTGTCAGCCCCAAAAGGTGACGCACTTTCCTATCACAGTCTGATAGGCACACCCCCACAAAAAACACTTTTGGTGTCTCAGGTTGTAGCATTCAGTTTTGGTGATGACATCAGCCGTTCACACTGTGCTGTATTGTGTTCCACAATATTTAATCAAGGTTTTAAGGATGACAGCATGTCAGTGGTGGATTCAGTTTCTGCCTAGCTGCTCCTTGCATGTTAGCTTTTTATCCTTGGAGAAAGCCCGGCTACAGTGCATGTAAACATTTATACCATTATTATTACAGACAGTGTGTGGCATAAGACTAAACATTGGTTCAGTTCATTGTGGGTTGTTGACATTTCTTTATGGGCTTAATTTATTCTTTTCGAATCTTTTTCACTTTAGAACGATGGACTTTAAACTGTTTAGAAGTCTCCTTATAACTCTTCCTAAACTGAAGGGCAGAAAGAATTTCTTCTCCAATATCATCTTTTTAAAAGCTTCAAACTGCCGAGAACTTCTCCTGTTGCCGAGGTTCTCATACTCACTGATAATTACTTAAGTGCATCTAAGTAGCAGAATCTGGTTGCTACTTACTCTCTTGATTCCTAATGGCGTAGTAGGTTTGGAAGCACTAATGTTTACATAGTTTTTCTCACTCTACTTCTTCGTATTTTCTTAATTTTTTGATACTTAAAATGTTAGAAATGAGAGATGATATCCTTTGTGCTTTTATGGCTATGTATGCATTGTAGCTTGTTCCTGTCCTTTGCTAGACCAGTGTTTCCCAACCACTGTGCCGCGGCGCATAGGTGTGCCGTGAGAAATGATCGGGTGTGCCGTGAAAGATTATCTGGTTCCACCTGATTAGTACTCTAAATGACTGGCGTGAGTAACGGGCAGAACAATTACATTCTATTGTAATCTCTTGTAAATGCTACAAGAGATGAACAAAATCAACTTTTGGAGAATTACCACTTTTGGGGGCCTTCCACTAGAGGCCAGTAAAACTACCTACTCTAATTAAATAGAACGCCAACTGCCAGTAAAACAGAAGACGAAGAAGAAATGACATACTTGTCATGCTATGAATGAGACAATGCAGTGCGTAATAGCAATAGATAAATATTTGAAAAGAACAAGTAGTCAATCTGACCTGGGCCCTGGAGAAAATCTGACCCAGATGAAGGCCCTAACATGAGTAGTGGTCAGAAAGCAAAAAAGGTACACTTGGGACAAACCGAACCAATTCCACTATGCCTGATGCACAGGGGGAAATTATCAATGTGCTTTTTGTGACATTTTTGGTTTGATGGTGTGCTGTGTGATTTTTCTAATGTAAAATATGTGCCGTGGCTCCAAAGGGTTGGGAGACACTGTGCAGACAAATCTGGCAGTGGTTAATTTGAAACATTACAGAGCAAGCTAATTTTACAGCTATTTAAGCACAGAGAGCTAGAGATTAATTAGCTGACCTCTTTCACTCACTTTCTATAAGATAGTTTGCAGTTAGTCCAGGTAGCAGCTAAGATAGGTTAGGCTGACATCTCCCTGTGCAGGGTCAGTTTTGATCACAGAAACTAAGCACATGTCCCTTCGTAAGTCTCCGGCTTCTGCTCATGTTATGGCAGTTAAGGCAACTGTATGACAAAACTCTCAGTGCATTCAAGATTTTAATATAACATTAATCATTTGTTTCTATCACTTCTCAAGTCAAAAGAAACGGAAATGAGTTTGGTTTGTGCAATTAAATTACTTTGTAACAACATTGACATAATGGCTTACATTTTTTTTCTTCTCCTCAGGTCACGACTGCTCTCTGCGTCTGTGGAACCTAGACAGTAAAACGTGTGTTCAAGAGATCACAGCTCATCGTAAGAAGAGCGAGGAGGCCATCTACGACGTGGCCTTCCACCCCTCCAAGGCCTACATTGCCTCCGCTGGAGCCGACGCCCTTGCCAGAGTCTACGTATAGACGAGGAAGAGAAGATTTAAACAACAAAAAAAAGAAAAGGAAAAAGAGGAGATGACCTCGAGGTGAGGGATACAGAGACGGACAAAGAGAGAGAGGGGCTAGTCTGTACACAAACAGGATTCAGGTCTGTTCAGGTCTCTGAACACAGAATATATATTAATATGAAAGACTGGAGCATCTCCAACGGACAACCGAACAAACACACACAGGTTTCTTACACAAATTTTTAAGTTAAGAGGTGGAGTGGTGTGATCTCCCTACAGCTAATTGAAGAGACAGCAGAAACGCGTTTAATGATCAACTTGGAGCAGCTTGCCTGAAACCCATCTAGCCCCCCACAAATCCCTAAGGTAGCTTTGACACTACATGCCTGTCCCATTCATTAACACTACTGTGACTCCTGATCCCAGACAGAAGAGCTGGAGCTGAGGGCAGACGTAAAGGAAAAATCCCCCCAAAATTAGACCTGGTCAGAGCTGGCCAAGGAAAGCAGCCTGACATCTAGATGAGTTAACCCATCACTCTTTTATTTCTTACTGTTGTCATTTAGCATCGTAATGCGGTCAAATGTAGCACATTAAACTGTGGAATCGTAGCACTACAGTCTACATGTTGTGGGGACATTTTTGCACCTTTCCCCTGTTTCTCCTTCTGTCCCACTGGACTCAATGCTGAGAACTGATTTTTACTCATTTGGTAAATGTTCAGGCGTGTCTGAGAGGAGACAGTTACAACTCGAAAAATGGCCCTCGTGAGAAGTTGCCTGGAATCTGTATTGAATTCACCCCCATTTGGCTAATTTTTCTCCAATAACTCTAAGAACTCTACTTTCAAGGCAGTTCAGAGCAGGCTTGCAGTCCCGAACAGTTATAATTGGCTGCCAGTGTTTTCTCTATGTTTGTTATACATTATAAAAGCTCTATTACTCCCCAGGTGTTGAAGCTTCAGTGGCATATGAAACCAAATCTAAGCACAATTGCAGTGCAGTAAGCAGTCTGCTCTCCCAGTCTGACACTTCACATGAGGTGATACAGCTAGAAATGTCCAAGAGTGGAGCATTCTAATGAGTCTCCAAAGTCTGCACTTTCTCCTACTGTAATCCATTTAGTAGAGCTAACCACTAGTTTAACTAGCAAAAATATAGAGTAGCAAAGAATTCGAGTTGAGTACAGTTTTGTACTGGCTCTCGCCTGCCTCAGGAGAGAGCATATGTAAAACATCCTCTCATTACACTGATCTCCTGTCTAGACAAAACAGTCTGAAGAAACAATTTTGACATTTTCATGGCTGTGCTAAGCTCTGGTAAAACAGGAAAAACTTAAACACCAGTGTCTTTGTTGTGCTTTGTACACACTGCTTCTTCACAGTGTTTACATGGAGAAGAGTGTCTCTGTTCAGATCTTTTTTTTGTGTGTGTCACATGTCCTTGATTGGCTGGATTCATGTGAAAGAAAACTGAAAAGCTACAAGCAAACATCTGACCCAGGTTTCTGAATGCAGCCAGCTACCTGCACAGAAACAAAAAATTGAACTATGTCATAGACTATCATCAATCTTTAAATGCCGAAACACTGAAAAGTAGCAGCTATTTAAGTTGATTTTAGACGTTTGGCCTGTTCAAAATGATTCCCAAGTTGCAAAAATACCTAGTAATCAAGTGTTTTGTGTGTAGTCTAATTCATATGTGCATGAGTTTTAAGTGCATTTTAATTAGCTGCTCAAAAAACATTTGCCAATTTATAATCATACAACATCTAAGCTGTTCCACTGGTGAACATTATTCGAGATGCCAGTGTCCCAACACAGGAAGCTGTAAGCTGTTCTATGTATCATCCATAGTATGATCAGAATAGGGGTACTTGTGTCCATGTAAACACTCCTCCTGTCACAACAGTGACAGTGAAATCATATTAGCCACATTAAACCCTGCTGTAAGACTGCCTGAGGAACTGTACTAAAGAGAAAGCCCGGAGGTTAATCAGATGTTGGAATCACATCTGAGGGGGATTTTTCCTTTAAACCTTCAGAAACGTCAACCTGAGAACAGAACATGTGATGTTTGAACTTCTCTCTTTCACTTTTTAATAATTAAATCTGAGCTAAAGCTTCTGCAAAGCAAGTTTTACAGTTTGTAAATGGGGAAAAATGAAGAAGAAATATGTTTTGAGCAAACAGAATGGATTTAATATCAGATTTTCTTTTTGCCTCTGAGAATGTTTTGGTGAGAATGAAAGTTTGGTTAATACTCACCGACCTCAGCCTCCTGCTGGGCCTATCAGAGCCCCACGTTTAACAGTGTAACAAGCGGAGGATTCAGCATTACTGTAGTTACATATTTTTGTTTGTGTAAAACAAATCTAGTTTTTATAGTCCTTTTTAATTCTTTTTAAAAATCCACAATATAGTTACTGCCACAATGGATGACCCATCAACCAAAAACCTCACCTCAGTCTGATATGTCAAGACGTCTGGCTTCAGTTTTGGGCCCTGATCTCAAATCATGTAAAGACAGGAACTGCTGCTGCTGAGTGTTGAGACAGCTGAGGAGAGGGCCAGCTGTATCTGTTAGTGTCTGTCCTGATGTTAAATATCAACCTTTAATATACATTTGTCCATTCGAGCTAATGTCTAACATGGCACACATTCCAGTGTGAAACAGCAGCTTATCACAGTGATAAGGTGTTTGCTCCAGAGGGTAGAGCATGCAAGTCCAATATCATCAACTGAAAGACTCTAAGCACAAGATGCATTTTAATTACTCCACAGTGAAACCCTTGCGTCTTTTACACAACAGCCTTGGCATGTTAACTATTAGCTTTGTCTTATGCTAGAATTAGTTTTAAAAAGTTACATTTTTAAAAGACTTATTTGGCATAAGAAAGTTACATTTATATGCCAACTTAATGCTGGTGTAAGACAGAACTAATTATGTCCTTTAAAGAAATGTACAAACAAAATTAATTTGCATAGAAAATGTAACCCAAGCATACAAATGCAGACCTATGAATAAATGCAAGGTGCCAAATGCTTACTAAGTCATTCTGTTCATTCTAATTTACACTGCAGTATCTAGTCTTTGTCACTGCAGCCGATAAAATCACTGGGGGAAAAAAAAGCCTGACCAACTCCTTCATAGGCCAGTCTTATATGACCTTGTTTATGCAGACTGGATAAAATGACGTGAGGTCATAGCAAAAAGGTTTTACAGGTGAGAACTTCTTGAACTACAAATACACAACTTGCTGAAATGATGCCTTTTCCTCACAGTCAATATATTTGACATCTAATTAGCTCTGTTTGTTTGTTTTGTTGGTTTGTTTTTTAAGAAATGAACTTTTAAAATCTTGTGTACACTGTACACATGAGCAGTTTGTTATAGTATAATACAGCTGCCATAAAGATCATTTTGTTATGGCTGTAATTTTTTTTGTTGATATCATCTGAAGGGAGGTCATGGTTATAAACTACAAAATATCATCAGGTTGAGAGGTGTTTCTAATATTCTGACCCATCAAAAGTAGTTTTTTTATTATATTTTCTGTACACTCACTTGTGTCAGAGTTCCACATTTTATATGTTGAACCCACAGAACTGACTCATTTGTATACGCGTACACACTCTTACACATGCAAGTATGCATTTTTGACACTATCACTAAGTGGAATATTCTGATATTTGTGAAGACAGATCTTACAGCAAGGCAGCTGTACTGAACACCATCCGTGTTTAGGTACCTATAATAAAGTGGTCACTGTGGGGGGTTATTTTGCTTTGTTTTGTTTTTTAAAATTTGTTGATTAGTAATAAGCAAATCTAATTTATGTAAAAACAAGTTTTGTCCTCAAACAGGTCAAAGAATAGTTTGATGTACACAGATTTGAACACAGGGCTGCTCCAGTTAAAGGCCAACTTCCAATAACAAACCAGCAAATAATTGGTTTAATGAGCTGGGAAATGGTACCTGAATGCAGCACGAGCTCAGTTCGAGTGTGAACAGGTGAAGTTACAGCTTTGTTTGGTTCAGGCTGAGACTTCTGCTCCTCCACCTCCATCATATCGCTTCAATCTTTGAAAAGCTGCTGTCTCACTGGCTGGCCCACAGGGGGAAGTCTAATTTGTTGTTCTGGTTTGTTACGATCCACAGTTTTATTATTATATAATTTTTTTTTCTTTTATTTTCACCAATGCTACAGTTTACTGTGTAACTCTCGTTTGTGTAATGCATGATTAATACAATAAAATATTTTTTTTAGTCTTCCGAAAAATGAAAAAAAAAATTCTGTTTGCGAGATTTGATGAGTTTTGTGTTTTGTTTTTTATTTACAAACTATGAACAGCAGATTTTAAAGGCTGTACCACATAGAATACAGCTGTTGAAATGTACATAAAATGTCTATAATAACTATTAAACTGTGTACCTGTACAAAACCTGCTGCCTGCTCTTCATTCTGTAGGAAAGCACTCGGTGTGTTCAATAGATTGGAGTTCCTGTGGTCCATATACCATCAAATTAAAATTAATTAAATTTAGTCACTGCAACATTTAAGCAATGGAACGCTTGTCTGTAAGCTTTGCTGTCTGTTCTACAGCAACAGCACAGGTGATACAATGACTGCTGTTTCATTTTCAGGCAGCGATAAATCAAATGTCAGGTGGTAAAACCACCTAAAGTGATGTAAGGTGCTAGTGTTGGAGGACTTGCACTAATGGAAGCCAGAGGTTTTGTTTATTCAGATAATGTAACTCTTTCTTCTTCTTTTTTTTCTCATTGGACAGTCATACTTAGTGCGATGGTACAACTAAACTGGAAACTGTCTCATGTCAGTGTGAGTATGTCAGCACACTTTCAATGGAGCAACAGTAGAAGATGATCAGCAGCTCCTTTCTGAGGATTTTCAGAAAATGGAGAGGCTGTTGGGCCTTCTTTAAAACCGCCAAGGTGTTTAAGCTCCATTGGAGGTCTGTGTCTATGTGCACACCCAGGAACTTGAAGCTGGCCCCCCTTTCCACATCCACGGCTACAGCAAAGACTTCCTGCCTCTGAACTTGATTGCCAGCTCTTTTGACCTGGTGATATTGAGGTCCAAGTTGTAGTTTGCACACCAATCCGACAGCCTCTGAACCTCAACTCTGTATGCTCTCTCATCACCCCCAGAGATGAGCCCCACCACAGTGGTATGATCTACAAACTTATTGTAGTGTCTGGGTGGGTACTGACACAGTCATGTGTACAGTAGGAGACTCAGTACACAGCCTTGTGGAGAGCCAGTGTTAAGGGTAAGGGCTGGGGAAAGATGAGGCCCCACTCTAACTCTCTGTACATGGTCTGAGAGAAAGTCTCCGATCCAGCAGTAGGTGGTAAAAGGAAATCTGATGTCCAGCAGAAATCAGTCTGTCCGTGAGTATCGTATTAAAGGCAGCACTAAAGTCAACAAAGAGCAGCCTGGCGTGACGCCCCTGTTGTTCAAGGTGGGAGATGGTGGTGTGGAGTGTTGTAACACTGGCATCTTCAGTTGATCTGTTAGCTCTGTATTCAGTGGTAATCTTCAGGCACAGGCATCATGTTTTCCTCTGTTTTTAACAATAACGACAATACAAATGAAGAATAAACCGGTGATCATATTAACCTGATCTATGAAAAAGTCGTTTGTAAAATTTCATCTCAATCGAAAGCTTCAGTAAAATTTCTACAGCTGTGAAGTTGCTATACACAAATACCAGGTGAAATAGTGACGGATCTGATCTGATTCACATCCTGTGAATCAGAAAGGCACACACACTCATCATGGGCATAAATGGTAATTTTGAGCGTTTACTTCGAACTGCTCTTTTTCCAGGGTGAAATGATTGTATATTATACATCTTTAAAGTAGGCTGGGAAGTGCAAAGCGCAACAAATTAAAAAA